GAAATTAAAATCATAAATGTGTTGTCGAACTTTCAATTCTGGCATCAGCTAAGGCAACTATTTGCAGAAATAACAGCCTTTGTTGATAAACATAAAATGAATGTCCTGCAACATGACAGTGCACCTCTAGCACTTTGAAATCGAACACCCAATTTTATCCTTTTGCATTAGAACAACCTAAATCAAGAGTGATTGTCCTCTACAAGAATTTGGTTGGGAAATGATACTTCCTCCATCCGATTCTCCCGATCTTGATCCGATAGATTACATAATTATTTTCCCAAGACTTAAGCTTACTTCAAGAGAGCAGGCTGAAATAAAGTTAGATTTTTTTTTTTTTTTAGATTTTTTACACGGAAGAACAAAAGGAATTTTTTTGAAAAGGCAGTTTGGGAAAATGTCATAATGTAGAATATTAAATGTTGACTTATGTCGATGATTAGAGAAAAAATGTTTAAAAATTTTATTTTAAGACGAACAAAACTTTTACATCCTGATGTTTTCGAAGTAGAGCAATACGGAAAAAAAAAAAAAAAAATAGATGAAGTATCTTTAGATAAATCACACGAGAAAAAAATGGTATCTTAAATAAAACTCTATCGTGATAGTATTGCGAATACAAGGCGAAATGAGACAGAAAAAATGTCGTAGAGCACTTTGCAATGAATAGAACAACGAATTCATTTTCAAGTACATGCCTTTCAATCAGTCAAAAGAAATGTACCATAGTACTTTTATTACAAGAAACATCGTGACATTTTATGGATTCACCTAGACTATTTCACTAGACATAGACTATTGTCCAGACATTTCCTAAACTCCATTTCCCAACCCCTCCTCCTAAAAAAAAAAAACTTACAACAAAGCCACTTTTAATCCTGATCTTTCACGAGTTTCATTCGAGTTCTGTTTCAAACTTGTAACAACATCTCCGAATTATCGCATTCAAATTGCCTTAAATTGTGAGTTATTTTTTGTAAAGTAATGAAGAAATCTTTTATAAAGAAAAGTAGAGGTATTACTTTCTTTCAAATACTGAAAAATTTTTATAGAATTTGTTTTTTTAGAGCTTTTCCAACAAATATGACAAAAAATTCCAAAAGAATCAATCGACCAGAAGATTTGGAATTCTATAATTGATTACTAACTGCTAATGCCATCACAATATTATTATTTTCTCGATAATTTTATCTTTTTTACTTTTTCTATTCTAATCACATTTTTATCTATGTTTTTTCTTTTCGAAATTCTTACTTTATGGTAACTACGCTTTGAAAATAATTAAAAAAATGTCTATTTATTGAAAAAAAAAATAATAAATAAAAATAAAAACAAAAGGAAATAAATAAATAAAAAAAATAATAATATATATATTCTGAATTATTTATTATGAAAGGTAAATTAAACTATTAGATGTTCTTATATTAACAAAAAGAATTCTTTTTTTAAATGGAAGCAAACGATTTTCAAAAAAAATGAAATGTGTTGCCATTCGGAAAATATTAATTAAAAATAGAAATAACAGATGCCAAAATAATGAAGTTAATTATATCACGAATAAAATGCAATAAATATTTCATTTAAATAACACGTAATGATTACTATCATGATTATTTTATTATTTAGTAAAATAAATATCCTTTTTCAGTGTATTTAATTATATTTTGTTATTATTTCGATTTGAATTAAAAGAATTTATCAGTGATAACAAGCAATCGATCATTGGCGACGAACAACCCATTTCTACATGAGTTTATCTACTGTGAATTAAAATTTATCTTAATTTAATTAATTAATAAATTGATTTAATTTAAAAAATAAAGAACAAGGGAAAAAATCTGAATATCACTTTAGTTAATAAAATGAAGGATTTTTTTCTTCATTTTTGAAGAATATAAAGCCATCTTAACTACATTAGATAAAGAAAAGTCATTTTAGAAAAATTAATTAATTACATAAAAAAATGAATTGCATTTTTCGTTATATTAAACTCTTTTTTTAATAAATATTGGGATAGAATTAAAAAAAAAAAGTCGTTAAACGATCATTGATAACAAAGTATCATTTTTTTTTTTCAGTTTATCCATTAAGCATTGGCGTTTAACATCCAATTTTAATTCGTTAAATAAAGGTTTAAAAAAAAAAAAAATGAAGAAAAAATTTAGAAAAAGAAGCCTCCCCGATAAGATTTGTGATTGTTTCTTATTCTATTTGGTAGACATCAACATCTAGACCAAGTCCAAGAACCCGCATGATCTCATGATAGGAGGAAAAAAAGGGGGGAGGAGTTTCTGTTATGATGGAGCACCTGTAGGTAGAAGCCTGACTTCGCTTCGTGACGATGAAAAAAAAGGAGGGAATGCCATTCGGGAGCACTTTTAAGGGGAACTACTCCACATTTGCGTATCGTATGGGAGAAAACTTGGAAAACTCTCACCAGATTAGTCTGACTCACAAGGTAAGATGCTGAACATCCCAAATGCCGTCGAATCCCCTCGTTTTTTGAAATAATGTTTACAATAATGGCACCAATGGATTGAACCTCACTCCTAATTCTCACCAGCGGCGCGTGTTGCCACGAGTCGGGCAAATCTAAGATTTTGTTCAATAAAATGAAGAACTTTCCTTTACAAAATCATGAAGATTTAAATCATCGATTAAGATCATCGAATGTCATCGATGAAGATCGATTAAGATCATCGATCGTCATCGATGAAGGATTTAAAGCAAAATACTCAATGAAAAAATTGTTGTATTATATCTTTATTCGACAATATTTTATAAATTGACGGAATGATCTATAGCAATATTTAATTTATTAAATTAATCTTTAAATTAATTAGTAATATAAATATTTGTAATAATATAAATATTTATAATAATATAAATATTTTTATAATAACATAAATATTTAAATGGATTGATATTTTAATTAATTAAATTCTAATTAAATGGATATTTAATTAAAAAAATACTAGTGACACATTTGGGGCCTGATGGCCGAGTGAGTAGTGCTCGGTGCCACAGGTTTTGGGTTTGAGTCCCGTTGATGCTATGGATGTTAGTAGTGGTTCGGAATTCACTTTAAACAGTAGGTCCCGGTCTAATATGCTTAGGGCTTAGGGCTGACTACCCTACCCCGTCTGGTAGAACGAAAACATCTCCTGTTTTGAAATCTGCCAGTGGACAGGCGGCCTTGGCCCACCAAGGGCTGCCGCGCCACTGATGATGATGATGAGTGACACAAATGATTTTATTGTAATATTAAGCGCTGAAGACTACTACATTTATTTTTAAATAAATTTCAAAAGCATTTATTTTTAATTTATTTTTAAAAATAAATGGTGTTTTTTTTTTTTTTTTTAATTTCTGACTAATGTATGTATTTTTTATGTATTATGTATTTTTTTTATTTCACATTTATTTTTAAATAAATTTTACAACATTTATTTTTTAAAATAAATTTCATTAATAAAATAAATAAACAATTGACCGTAATTGGCGCGTGACAATTACATGTCGATAGGTGTAAACAATTAGAATCGGGATTCAGCAATTCCATTTTCAAACACGTTTGTTTGAAAACAAAACTCAGTTTCATTTTGTTGAATTTAAAGAGCAAAAAACTCATTGCGGAAAAGAATAAATACATTTAATGAAATGTTTGGTAATGTATCTGCCAAGAAAATCTCTCTTCAGCATTGCTGTACGAGCGACCTTGGAGTGAAAACGAGCCAAGGTCCTTTCCCAAGCGTGGGAAATAACATTAAACCTCTGAGGGTGGAGACGCGTGCTTTCAGGGTGGAAGTCTGAAAAGGTGATGCGATTTTCACAGGAGGAGTGGGAGGGAGGGTGGAGAAGTTTTTATTCGCATCGAACGCTTCACTTCCTGGTTTAATTTATGCCAACACGTTGCCATCCAGTCGCAAGAAAAAGGGGTTTCTGAAAATTGGATAGAATTCGCCTTGAAGGAAGGGTTGACCTTGTTTTCAGCAGAATTGTCCTAAACCAGTGGTTTTAGAGAGTTAGGTATATGGATATTCAAGGAGAGGAGGAGTTAGGAGTATTTTGGATGGGGGCCTGAAGGCCATGCTCTGTATCATAAGTATCGGGTTGGAAATCCCGGCTGTGCCATGGGTGTTTGTAGTGGTTCCGAATCCACTTTAAGCTGTCCCGGTCTCATTTAACCGTAGAGTGTCACGGAGCCCATTCAGACTTCTTCTCACCCACATCATTCCCAAAGTGTAAAGGGGCAACTCAGCTCTAGGCACAGTGATATGATTTGGTGTAGTAGTAGTAGTGTTTTGGAAAACGCATTATTCATGAAGTATAATTAAATTTAGCATTTCCATCAGAAATGTATGCAGTAGTATCGATGGGTCACTATACGAAATACTAGATACAGTGATGTCTTGGTATACGTCCTTAATTCGTTTCAGATGCTTGATCTCGTACCAAACAAATTTAAAAAAAAAAATTAAAGGGGAAATAGATCGATCCCCATAAAAAACACTATCCCACACCTTCCCATAAAGCCATTAGAAAGACGTTTCCAAAAACACTGTGGAGCTGTTAAATTGTGTCTTTATGATGCAGGCCACTCAGACAAACTTGTTCAAAGAGATTTTTAATACTTTCCCCAGTGACAAATATCTGTTGACAATTTTTTTAAATATTTTTTTATAAATTTTCGTCTTCTTCTTCGTCAGCATACAACCTGCTGCAGGCCAAGGCAATCCCCATGAGCTTTCTCTATCTGACTCTGTTAGGGACAATAGATCGTCATCTGTTGACTCCCAGACCCTTTAGATCTCTTTCGACTGAATCAATCTATCTGTTGGGTTCCTCTTTTTTTGGGAACTTTCAATTATTGAAATTTTTTTAGTTGGATTGGAGTCTGAAAATGTGTCCTAGCCATCTCCACTTGTTTTTATAACTTTTACTATATCAGGTTCTCTGAATTTATTGTAAATTTGTTATATTGTAAATTTTGAATGCCAACCGCGCGAGGTGTTCCCAGGTTGTCAACCTCCCAAGTACTGACCGCGCCCGATGATGCTTAACTTTGGTGATCGAATGAGAACCAGTATTTTCAACATGGTATGGCTATTGGTTTTTTAAAAATACTTACAAATTTAAACACATTATAAATTTATACAACTCTAGACAAAAAATATGTATGATTTAACAATGTAAAAATTTAATGTAAATAATAAATTGAACTCTGGACAATATGTCGACAAGACAGGGTATTGAAGCACGTCATACCCAATGTCTGCAAATGAACATGACATCGTGATAGAATGACTGTTACTAGATATACGCTATTGCGAGTACTTGCCTTAGAAAAAGCAAATTGTCCCAAAATATTCGTTTTCAAAAATACGATTGGGAGGGACTATCTGTTAAGGGGTAAACAAGTAAAAATTGTCATGAAATGCGAAAAGGTGCTCTTACTGCAAATGGTGAAAGTCGTGAATTCTTCATATTGGAGTTGTTTTGGGAAGTCATTGGTCATTAATTGACTGCAGGTAATGTTTTAACACATTTCTTTTTGAAAATACGCCTACAGGTTCAGTGTTACGGCAAAAAATCACACGTTTTGTTTTCACATGGAGAGTTACTGACATTAGATTATCGTTACATTGATTGACATATTGACATTAGATAGACAGATTTTATCGTTGATATTTATCACATTGATAGATACATTGTAGCAGAGATTTTTCTGCATGGTGATGGATTAAAAGGGGTATGTAGATAAGATAAGAGATGCGTATAAAAAGCGTGGCCCAACCCTTTGGTTTGTTTAAAGGAAAAAAAAGTAGCTTTTTTTTTTTGGACAACGTATAAAATATAGCTATTCTAATGACAGTGTTTTGAGTGAAAATCGGTGGGTCTCGTGCTCCACTGATATATATACCACGAGCAGGGTCGGATTTAGATGAAAAGAGGCCCTAGGCTATTCCACTTATGAGGCCCTTTCACCTCCCATTTTTAAGTTTGTAAATTACTTGAGAGATAATAAAATACATCATTATTGTGATATATATCAATATGTTAAATGAAACATGTTGTGATTAGTACTAATCTTTATAAAAAATGTGTCACGGATAATAAATAAATTAAAAAAAAAAAATCGAGAATACTTATTTGGACATTTATTCTCAACACCATATATAGACTTGTGACAATAACTAATCAAACACAGCACACAACATTTACAAAGAAACGAAATTCAATAATAAAAATCTTTGACAACTAAAATAAAATATGCAATAAAATGATCATTTTTTCTATCAAATTAAATTAAAATATTCAATACATTGAAGATTAAAGCAAATTCAATTCAGATAAATTTATTTCATAATAATTCGCATTTAAAGTTGAGTACAGCTTACCAGAAATCAGAGCTTAGTAGCATAAGGCACGAGCTCAATATTTGCCATAGCAATCAGTGAACGTTTGAACTATACTTTGGTGCAATCTAGTCTATACAAACGAACAGACCCAATGAGCCGAACGCGTTGATCTTAACCAATACATTTTTATGTTTGTTTATGAGTCATATGTGTAGAATTTCTCCTTATTTTCGATTCAGTGTTTTAGCTACTATTGGTGGTTACTGTTGTTAGAATTACTGTTTACCACAAGTAATAGGTAGGCGGTTTATTGTTTTTAGAATAGTGTAATTCTAATTTTGCTAACAATTTGAATGTAGGCCCCTCTTGATCTTGAGGTCCTAGGCTGAAGCCTAGTTAGCCTATAGGAAATCTGGCCTTGACCACGAGCAGCCCATGGACTGGAAGTAAAAGGAAAGATGACTTCTTCTGGGAAGGCTTTTAGAAGAAACTGCATTCTCGTCGGGAAGCATAAATCAGTGAACATGGAGAAGAATAGAACTGGTGGACATAAATCGGTGAATAAAGTCGATGAATATGAGTTGGTGAATCCACCGAGAAGCATGAATTGGTGAGCATAGAGAAGATGAACTCATTGAGCATGAATCAGCATGAATCAGTGAACACAGGTTAACATGAATAGGTGAACACAGTCGATGATGAATATGAACCGGTGAAAATGGAGAAGATGAACCCACCGAGAAACATGAATCGGTGAACACGGAGAGGTGGTGTTGAATACAGTCAATGAACACGAATTGACGAACAAGGGAAAGTGAACAAGCTGGTGAACATAAATCGGTGAATACGGAGAAGATGAACACAGCTGATGAACATGAATCGGCAAACACGCAGAAGGTGAACCTGAAGCGGTGAACACAGAGAAGGTAAATACAGCTGGTGAACGTGAATCGATGAACACAACGTATACAACTAATAAAAAACATGGGTTTGGAGAAGACTTTGGTTCGAAACTCAGAAAATGATGCAAATGAGTTTCCGTGTTTTTGCTGGCAATAGGATGTTGAATCCGTAAGTTGGAAAATACCTTCCTCTGTGTTAATAGGGAGGTGATAGGAGGTTTGAATCCTTCTAGATGACACTCCTTGGGAGAGGGAGATATTCGTTCTAAATTGCGAATGCTTAATGCTGGTTCAGGGTGCATCCTGGACAACATTGAATTTGTTGAATATCTGCTATTCCAATGGCGGATGCCATATTAAAATACTTATCATTTGAAAGAAACATTTGAAAATCGTTGTTAGGATAAGAATTTTATCAAAATAAAAGATATGAAATTAAAAAATTCCATTTTCTATCTGTACATTCCAATTTTCTACTTAAAAAAAAAAAAAAAAAAAAAAAAAAAAACTAATTATAATTTTCGATGCATAAAAATTTCCAAATACATTGTGTTATAAAAAGTGTAAAAAGGAAGTATAAAGATAACTAATTATTTAATGACTATTAATTCATATTATAATTTATTAATTCACTTATATTCAGATATATCATCAGCGGTGCGCCAAGAGACCTCAAACTCGAAGATTCTAACAAATTAAACTGGAAATAAAGTGAAATGAATGTCACTGTTCTGAAAAACTTGGGTGCTAGGTATCAATCGTTATAATTTTTCACTATTTTCATTCTGAAATGCAGAGTTAGTTTAAAAATGTCATACAGAGCACCCACGCTTTTAGAACAGTGACATTCATTTTCTCGTCAATCATTTTATTCTTATGTTAACAATTCTTTTTTACTTTTTAGTTTGATTAACTCTAAAAGCTTGTTTTTAGTGTTTTTAAACTATAATATTTAAATGAGGTCCCGGTACGGAGGACTGGGACTATAGTTCTTACAATAATTTATTTGTGAGTAAAACAAAGGCTAAATGCGAATATATCGAGCCAGCCAGGATTCGAATAAGGAATCTCCTGATCCGTTGTCAGGCGCGTTATCCGTTGTGCCACTGTCCCACTCAGGTTTGAATGTCTTAGGTACTTTCATTCTACATGGGTTAAATTGCTCTTCATAATTTAAAATAAAATCAATCCTGGCGATCCTAATCGTGGTAAGATAATAAACTTATCAAAATATTTTAGTGTCGTCGGCCCTTGATAAGTCTACAACGTTTAAATTAAGTCAGATCGCTTAAAGTAGGGCAAAATCGAGCCCAAAGAGTCAGTTACAAACAAACATAGAGGTGAAACTAATAATAAAAGTGTATTAAAAAAAAACTAATTATGATTTTAGATATAAAAATTTTTTATTATATTTTCCAAATGCATATCTCCATACATATCTACATATATAAAATGTGTAAATTGAAGAATAAAGATAATTAATTATTTAATAACTATTAATTCACTTAGATATCATTTGTGGTGAGCAAAGACACTGCAAACACGAACATTCTAACTGAAATTAAATTAGAAATAAAGTGCAACTGAACTTCAATTTAGCTGAAACAAAAAGGCAAGCAAACAGCAACTGCTTTCTCACCGCACATTAGCTGCCTTTAATTCCAGCGATCCGATTAGTCCTTCAAAGAAACCAATTAAACGAAACCTCCCCATCATTTTCGGAACTTTTACTTTTAATTCAGAATTTTTCTATCCCATTTATTAAAAGAACAGCAATCCAAGAAAAAAAGAAGCATCGATTATAAGAACAAAAGAACAAACCTATTTTCATTTGCTTAACAGTTCCCAATTTCTTATTTGTTAATGCGATTTTTTTTCCTTCTTTACTACAATCGAGGTAAAGTTCATCTGCATTAACTGGATTAATCGCCTAATGGATTCATTCCAAGTTAATGCGCCGTGTTAAAAAAGATGCAAGTTATCTTAATACTAGTTAATTGATATCGTTAATAAATTGTTGAAGCTATATATACTAAAATATGTTTTTATTTATCTTTTGTAAGCTCTCTTTTAGGAGGAAACAATTGTGCTTATTCTTTTAACCTGTATTGCAATTGTACCAGTATGCTAATTATAGCAGTATGCTGACAGTTAAGCAATGCTATATATGCTATTATAGCTATGCAACATGACAGTTAAGCAATGCTATATATAATTAAGCTATGCAACATGACAGTTAAGCAAACTATAGTATTAAGTTATGCAGCATGACAGTTATGAAATATGATAGTTGCAAGTTATGCAGCATTATTTGGAGTTGACTTAAAAGACCTCCTTGTCCTCTAAATTTGTTTATAAAAATGTCCCATAAGTACTAAAATAGTAGGTTGCTGTGTCTAATCGTCAGTATCATGAAGTGCGAGATGGACATTCCATGACTAATCTACTCATGGATGTAGGGAAGGCGGGCAACTTCTGTTGTGATGGAATACCCTTAGATAGAAGTCTGATTTGGCTCCGTTGTTGAAGTGGCTTGGCTCCATATCTATTCTAGCATCTTAACTGGTTATTTTATTTTCGTTTTATTACTTTTCTCCATTATCTGTCTGTTATCATGTTAACCTCAGTCTTGCAATATTCATCTGTCTGTTCGCATTATACTGCCTCTCCTCTAAGATCCATCATCAATAAGTTTCGGAAATCACATTGCTACCTACATCCACTGATAATAGCTGGACTTTTTCAACTTCAATATCTCATCGCTCACCCTTCAATTTACCACTGATATTAGCTACATTCAACCTCTTCGCACAGTATTTCCTTCAACCTCACTCACTCCAATAA